CAAATGTATATATAAATATATATATTTCTTTTTAGTTTCAATTCAATTATTTTGAATTCAAAAATACACATTATTTTTATGTTTATTTATATTTTGCGACATCTTCACTTTTGTATACAAACTTCAATTTCACTCACATTTTTAAATTATGGTAATTAATTTGCAATCAAATTAAATTAAACTTCACGTTCGATTGGCTTGGCTCTTTATTTCGTTTGTTGTTTCTTTTGTTTTCGCTGCGTAATCCTTCCAAGCAGTAACCGTTATGTTTTCAGATTCGTTTTACAAGCAACCGCAACACGTTGTTTAAAAAGACGCAGCCAATTGGCAACTGAATTGCACATTGCCAGCCAGTCACTAGTTTAGCTGCTCGAAGCCAACGAGTTGAGCTGTTCGAAGGCAGCTTTTTAAAGTTTTTGAATGACTTAAAGAGACGAAAATGAACGAAAACAACTTGACGATGCCTAAACGAAAACTTAACGAAATATCGAAAGCTAGTTAAAAATGCAAGTAAATGTGCAAAGTCTTAAATGTAAATATTATATGTGAATATGGTCACTCAGTAAATAAAGGGTATATCGATAGAGAGCAAAGAATAGGTTTGTCAGAGAGAGTAATAGTATATTAGGGATACAACGTAGTTAATTGTTTCTTAGTTATTCAGATATAATATATCAGATATTAATATATCAGCATTGAAAACATTGAACTTTCTATAGTTATAGCATATTATATATTTCTGATATTAATTAACAGCTTAAACTAATTTACTAAGATTGTAGAACATAATGATCGACAAAATCCTCCAACATGTCCATTAGGCGATCTCTATACAGCTGATCGGAGTTGAAGGCCTTCATGCAGATATCGATGCGTTTGCGATCAAAGAAATCGCTAAAACCGTCAGCGGAACCCGTCAACTCCTGAGTGCTGGCTGGCGGCAGTATAACCAAATGGCAGAAGAGACAGCTCTCGATGAGACCGATGATGCGATACTCTTCCACAGACTCCTCGAACTCGGCCACAGTCATGAAGTCGTCGATGTTTAGGCCGGCGCGCTTTAAAAACTCAGTCATAAAGCGATAATACTCGGCTAGCAGCTCGTTGAGATAGGCAGCACGAAACTGGCTCGTCGTCGGGATGGTGAGGACCGTTAGTAGATCCATGGCGGGCGGCGCGTACCTGGCCAGCTGGAAGTCCACCAGGCGGCATTGGAGCGGCGTTTCGCCATATTTGCCATACTGGAAGAGTATGTTGTTCGCCCAGAGATCGCCGTGCAGCAGAGTGTTGAGGCGCGTCTTGGAGGGCTTGGCCAGCTCAAAGATTCGCGACATGCGCTGCTTAAAGTTGGCCAGAATGAAGTCCAGTTGACTCTGATATTTGGGCATTGTCTTGATGAACTCCTTAAGCACCTCACACGACTGATTGAAGTTGACAATGCGCAAATGCTCCGGCGGCAAATTCGATGGATACGCGTTCTCCATCAAAGGCTGCCTGGGGCCATGCTTCTGGTCTCTTATGATGGAGCCAGCGTGCATGGCGGCCAGGGTCTTGAGGCAGCAGTGCAGCTGCTCATAGCTAAACAGGCCATCACGACCGGTTCCCATGCGATAGCCCTGATCGATCAGATTCTCAAAGACCAGAAGATTCTTGTCCGCATAGTAGCACTTGGGTGCTATCTCCGTGCATGCGGCCTGCACCTCGGGCAACACTTTCTTATAGACGACGATCTCCTTCTGGAATACGCCGAATGCCTCGAGATACTCCATGCGTGTGGCATTTCCCTCCGGTGCCACCTTGCAAAAGAATCGCAGTTTCTGCTCCACAGTTTCGGACAATCGCAGCACCACCTCCAGGTAGAAGTGGCTGCCCAGAAATCCAGCCGGCGCATCAGACGTGGGCTGCAGCTTGTAGCTGACAATCTCGAATCTGTCGCGGATTTCATGTTGATGCAGATAATTCTGGCACAGGCCCTGTATGTCGGTGCTGCTGAGCTCTAGTGCCGTTGCCATCTTGATTCCAACTGTTGTCACCGCTTCGGGTGCGCCTTTTACTTTATACCGTCAAATCCAGATGGATACCTGCCGCTATAAGCCGCTATAAAACACATTTCTGATAAGCAGCAGCGCAACAGCGTAATGCGATAGAAAAGATTACAATCGGATGTTGCCATCTCGTAGCCTAACCCGAGCAACGCTTGAACACTCTTCAAAGATGTATTTCACAATAATATATCTTTAATATATCTGATCATTTTTGCATAAATTATACATATAGTATTATAAGTATTTATTGTATATATTTAATTTGAAAATTGATTATTTCAATTAATTTACTATTTTTAATAAACAAATCATACCATATACAATTTGAATAGGAAATTCTCGGTTGATCTTGCTATCAACTAGTTGTTTATCGTCCACTTTGCTATTCTTCCCCATTTATGTTAGTAAACCCAAGGCCTGAATTGATGAATATAATAAAAGAGATTTACAATTAACATAGATAACTTTTAATATAAAATATTGTATGTTATATATACACAATTTTTTTCTTTTCTCATGTAACACACTTCATTCCAAAATATAATTAACTAAGGTTAGTTCACAGTGCACGCGACAATGGCTGGTCTTTCATTCATTATAAAAAAGTAATTGTTATCTATTGACGCACTAAATGCTAGACATTTTTTTAACTTAAATCAAGATTTAATGGCGAAGTTTGTGCAACGCTTAAATTTTACAACTGCAAAATTTTACTTTTCCCACACAGAAAATTAAATGCCCTGCGTACATATGAATTTATACTTAGTTAAAATGTTTATAATTAAGAATATTTTTACTTTAAAAAATATTAAATAAATG